TGGCAACTCCCAGAGGAGCAGCCCACAGCCCTACCAAAGCCTGCAGTGAGAGGGGCTGCCCTCAGTCCCACAACAGCATCCAGAAAGGGGCTGCTCTCATCTTGCAATGGCACCCTGAGGGGAACAAGCACACCCCTGCTGAGCTGGGAATTAACTAGGCCCTTCTAAGCTGGAATGAACCAGGCCCTTCTGAGCCATGCCCCGCTCAGAAGCCTTTCTCTTCTGGCTGTACAGATAAAAGCTTTCTCTTTGAGGCACTGCACTGTTGGAATATGGGTGTCCTCAGGACAAACAGCACAGCTGCAAGCATCGCTCATACTGGTCAGCAGCTCTGTCAGTACTTCATGCAGGGTGCTCCTTCTAAGCTGCTGGTAGCACTCCCATGCTTTGTCCTGATGCAGTTGGACACTGATATTGATGCAGAAAGAAAGAAGTGCTCGAGCTGGCACACAGTCTCTCTGGATTTTGGATCCCCCACAGAGCAGCTGCCCAGGAAATTTCCTTGCCTGGGGCACAGAAAAGCCCTGGCCCACAGCACCATGAGGAAGCACAGACTGGAGGGGAAGCAGAGACTCTGGATGGCATGTGAGCTGATACATCTCCATGCAGACCTAATCCTGTATTCCACACCTTTCCAGGGTTAAGTTCTGAGCTACCTCAGAGGCCTCCTCCAGCCCACACAGCTCAGCCGTAGTTCCTTTGAGCCAGAATAATGCAGCGATAGTACAGTTCCTAATTAAACACCCACTTAGGAAGATAGAGCTATGCCATGGATTACATTTCCAATGGCCTACATACTCCCATGTGATCGGCATGCAGAGCTGTCAGAAGGCTGTAACTCTGTGTGGCATTTCTAATCGCACAAAGATTTCTTCAAAGCTACCAGAGCTTGACTGCTGATGCTCTTGCCTTGAGGGAGAGTTGTAAGCTCATTTGCAGGGGAGAAAGACAGACAGACAGACAGAAAGGAAGAGGACAATTGGCTTAAAGTTGATTTTTAATGAGGCAGGATTTCTCTAGTCTGTACTTTGATACGCAACTTTGCTCCTGACCAGGATCCACTTCAAACGACAGAGGCGACATTTCTCTGGCGCTAATCTAATTCTTCATCATAATTGCATTTGGCAGAGCTGGGTCTGAACAGTGCCGCCCCGTGGCATCATTCAGAGGGATAAACAGGGATTCTGGGCTTCTGGCTTCCACACATCTGCTTCCATCCCTATGCTCTGCTCTACATGGAGGTTTGACCAGGCAAAATGGGATAATCACAGCTCTGTCTGGGATAGCCTGGACAGACAGGCTGGCCAACATTGCAGCATCTTTTGAGTGATTTCAAATGTTTCTGCAATTTTCCCACATGCACGGCTGCAATGGTTTCATGCACAGTGTCTGTGTGCACATGTGGTGCTTTATGAGCTGATCCAAAATGCAGCACAGGCTCTCAGCCCTGTGAAATGTGTCCAGTGTTTTGACCATGTTAAGCTCTTTGGACATGTGCTACATGGAACATCCTGCACAGGGATAACAACACCCTGTGCTGTGCTGTCACAGGATCTCACAGTTCCAATGCCTCTAACAGAGACTTACAAATCCCTTAGCAAACTTTTATTGTCAAACCACACAATCCCTGCATTATCTCAGCCTTGTCATTGTTGGATAATGTACCATTTTAGTTTTTCCACCTGTAATATATTGACATGAGTATTCTCCCTGTAAATTTTACTTTAGCTGCTCTTCCTTCTTTAATAACTCTCCCACGCTACTGGCTTTATTTCCTCCTGCTAATATTTCAGTCTTGTTTCCAGTTCTGATCTTCTCTTTCTCCTTCTGATACCACTTTATTTATGTGATCTCAGATTACTGATACCTGCACAAGGCACTGCTCAAACCCTGAGAGACACCCAGGGTGAAAAGAGCCCTCTATCCCAGAGTGACTGAACCAGGAGAACAGAGCTCATGATAGAGACACAGAAAGCCAACAGAGGAGTTTTATGAACTTACACTGTTTAAAGTAGCTCACCACAAAATAAATATCTATTTCTCTGCAGATTTAGCTGTGGAAGCAGAGGATCTCCTTGGAGACAGACAAATCAATGCCTGCTCCAGAGCTGGCGCTCTGGAAAAATGACAGAAGCAACTCAGTCGAAGAAATAGAAGCTCCAGTAATGGAAATAACTCACCACAAAGGAGATTAGTGAATATAATCCTAAAATATATCTAATCTGGCCTATTTCCAGGAGCTGTGTAGACAACAAACCAGGGATTGAGAACAAGGTCAGTGTACTGAATGAGAACATGTTTGTTTTTTGGCTAGAAAAGTTTACAGAAGCAGCTCAGCAACACAAATACAACACTCATCTTGTGGATGTGAAATAACATTTCATTTAGAGTTTCTTGAAGTTCTTAGCTTCTTTCTCATTAAAGGTGCTTAATATGATTCGAGCACTGTAATGAACTTCACTTCCAGCAATAAGTATTTATATCTTCTAGAAGTAAGATTTATAATTAATAACATTCCTATAAAATGGAAAGAATCAACACTGAATTCCAGATAATCAATATGCCAAAGGGAGACTGAAACCTCTGCTCTGTATGGTAACATTGACGGTTCCAGCTGTGGCAGGCATCAGCCTAAAAGGAAGTCCCCCATGGCTCTGGGAATCCAAATCAATTCAGGAGTCAGGATAGAGGAAAAAGAAAACCATCAATATTCAAACGTCCCTTCCAGTCAATGGTATAGGAAGGGTATGAACACAAGGAGGGGAATGCTTCCAAGAGGGAAAATTAATGAGAACAGGGTAATGCAAAGAAAATAAAAATAGAGAAACAGGACAAGGTTGGGGGCAGATAGAAGCCCTTTTTCAGAGGTATAAAATAATTTTGGCAAGTAGAATGCATGCTGAAAGGCACAGTGCTCTTTTGGAGATAGCAACTGTTGCATATATTTCTAGAAAAATATGAACTATTAATCCTTAGACCCTGCATTTAAGAACTGAGCAGCTGCACACACTTTGGAAATGCAGTCTGAATTATATCTCACAGCCAATTAAATATGTGGCAAAAAAGAGCTGTGTTTTAAAATGTGTTTGTTTATGTTACAAAAATACTATGTCCAGTTGTTTTCAATGAAAATGTGGCATTGGAAGGGATCTCCCAGGACAGTGGTGGAGTTACCATTTCTTGAAGTGCTCAAGAAACAACAGAATGTTGTTTCATCAGCCCAGCACAAAACAGAGGTATCCAGCATTGCCCAGGTTATGGATTTACTGCCTGTGAGAAGATCAAACTTGCAGTGAATCCACGGCAGTTTGTGACTCTGGGATGTCCTGATCCCTGTGCCTTCTCCAGGTTTTGTTCCAACCTGTGCTCTGGCTCACTGCAAATACACCAGGCCATGCTTGAGACTTTTTGGCTCTTACTGGTTGCTTTTCTTCTTCCCTGTTTTTTCCTTTCTCCCCTGCTAATCCAGTCACCTCCCCTGAAGTGGCCGAGGCTGTTATTCCTGCCAAGGGAACGAGGGCACACAAAGCCTTCTGTCCACAGAGCGCTCGCCTTGGCCCAGGCACAAATGGGAGCTTTCCTTTCCTCCTGTTCAGAAGGCACCACTAAGGAGGAGTTTGGCCATGGAAACCGGTAAGAGAAATGCACAATTTAAAGGAAAATTTACAATGTCACGTTGAGATGTTGGGAGGAAGGTGGAAGAAAGGAAGGAATGGACAGGGACAGATTTGGGGGGCTCAGAGCCCGTTAGTAGTGCAGTTTAGTGGGGCCAGGGGAGCCTCAGAGGCTGTGACCCTGCTGGAACTGCCTGACTTGAACAAGGAGGTTTTTAGCCTTGCGAGGCAGTGCTGGGTGTCTTTGGAGCCTGTCAAGGAAAGGAGAAGCCTGGAAACTCCTCTGGGACCCTCCTCACCTTCGCTCCTTCCGCAGCTCTGTCAGGCATGTTGGAAATTTGTCTTTCCCACATGGTCAGTGATGGTCCTGAGCATCTATGGGGTGAGTCTGGAACATGGGGGCAAAGAGAAGGTGTGGGCTGAACATCAGCTCTGCTCCTGCAGCTGCTCTGAGACAGTGCTCAGGGGGGATGAAACAGCCAGGAATGCAGGGGGAGTGTGTCTGCAGCCGGGGGCTCAGCCTGCACTGCTGGTTTGGGTGCTTTGGGATGGTTTTCTGCCAAAGCTGTAAGGCTTGACAGGTGTGCCAGAGAGGAAAGGAGAAATTCAGTGTGTGCAGTTCATGATTCCAGCTTTCTTCTTCAGGAATGGCTCTGGATTCAGTAAGAAGGACTGACTGTTTGCTGTCTCAGTGCTATTTCCCACAGCCCACTGCTGCTTTTACATCACACACCAACACCTGGGAAGGAAAGAGGAGGAGAGAGGGTGAGGCCCTGTCTTTCTTTTCTCATTCAGTTTCTCTTTTTTAAAAGCACTTTTCAGAAAAGAGAGCCTTTTATATATATATTACTGCTACATGTCTATATGTCTCTCTCATTTTAGACAGTCTGTGCAGAAAGCTGCATAGAATAATTGAGCTTTACACCTTTCAGAATTGCTGCCACTACATTTCTTAAATTCCTCATTTTTTTTAAGAAAAAAAAAAAAAAGGAAGATTTAAGAATTTAGAAATGACACCCAACATTTCCTACCTGAACCGTCGTGGTGATCAAAATTGTGGAGGATTTTCCAAACCTGAGTTCTGACACAAACACCCACTAGGGTTTTTTGTACATCCCCGTGTTCCTTTCTAGAGCTGTCCTGTGCAGGGAGAATTCTCACTAAGTGTGGGGTTAATTGGGCTGTATGTAAGCAAACAGGCAGGGGTGAGGTGGCTCCTGAGGTTTGCAAAGGAATAAAGTAGCACAGAACTCCCAGCTCTGATTTCCTCGGCAGACAAGAAGCAGACAGGAGGAACGAGCTGCTGCCTCTGGGACCCATTTACCTGTGGTACCAGCCTTAAAACAATTCCAAACCTCTGAGCTGTGCTTCTCCTCAGCCCCCCGGGAAGGGTTGGAGTGAAAAGCAGAGGCACCAGCTCTGTTCCCTTTGGGCCACTGAGGGGAGCTGCTCATTGGCAAATTCGGTTGTGTGATCCAGGGCTTTCAACCCCCAGAACTGCTCGAGCTCTTTGTGTTACAACCACTGTGTGCTGCACCAATCCTGATTTCAACTTTGCTTTTGTCCTCCAGGGTGAATAACTGCATTGGATTTTCTAACTACAAATTCTTTCTACTGTTCTTAGCCTATTCTTTGTTGTATTGCTTGTATATTGCTGCAACAGTCTTCAAGTATTTCATTAAGTATTGGACAGTAAGTCATGAAATCCGGTTACTTTTCCATCTCCTGTCAGTCTCGTGGGCTTTAGTGACTCGTGGTGCTTTGTTGCTCTCAGGCAGTGGAGGGGCTGCATTTTCCTGGGAGGTGTTTCCTGGGCCCTTTGGGAGTCCACCGCCTGTTAGATATCCAAAATGAACAGAGCAAGAAGACAGTAGCCTTCAGGAATTTTAGACTGTAGATGATTTTCTGGCAGAGGAGTTCTATTCCTTCCGTTTCCTTGTGTTTGCCTGAGTGTCCCTTGGAAAGTTTGGCATTGATGTGTAAGATCCTGGCAATGATTTGTACATATTTACTGAATAGAAAAAAATGGGTCAAAACCCCTTGTTCATTTTCTAACCCCCACAGGCCTCCTTTCTCAATTTAAAAACAGTGACCCAAAGGAGGCCTTTATGCAGTTCCCAGGGGCTGTCCCGGAGCGCGCAGTGCGGGCTGGGCCGGGGCAGGGCCGGGGCAGGGCCGGGCAGGGCCGGGCAGAGCCGGGGCAGGGCCGGGCAGGGCCGGGGCAGGGCCGGGGCAGAGCCGGGGCTGGGCCGGGCAGTGCGGGCAGGGCCGGGGCAGGGCCGGGCAGTGCGGGCAGGGCCGGGGCAGGGTCGGGGCAAGCCCGGGGGCAGGGCCGGGCAGGGCCGGGCAGTGCGGGCAGTGCGGGCAGTGCGGGCAGGGCCGGGGCAGTCCGTGCCCGCCCGGCGCGGTCCCGCCCCCGCGCTGCGCTCCCGCCGCGGGCCTGAGCGGCGGCGGCGGCCGCCAATGGAGCGCGGGCGGCGGGCGCGCTTCCCCCGCCCCGGCGGCGCGCACGGGGGCGCGGCCCCGGCGCATGGAGGCGATGCCCTGCCAGAACCAGCGCCTGGGCCCGCGGCCGCAGGATGAGCCGCCGGCGGCCGCCACGGCCACGGCGAGCGGCGGCTCCCGGCTGATCCGCTTCGCCGAGCCCAGCGAGGACAGCGGCTGCCCCAGCCCGGACAGCAGCAGCAGCAGCAGCAACGGGGTGGTGGCGGCGGGGCCGATCCCCGCGGGGGAGGGCGGCGCGCCGGCCATCGGGCCGCAGCTGAAGCTGCTGCCCATGAACGACCAGCTGCGGGAGCTGCAGACCATCATCAGGGACAAGTGAGCGCGCCGCGCCGGGCGGGCTGGGGAGGAGCCGCGGCGGGCCGGGGAGACGGAGCGGGATCGTCGCTTGTCGCTCACTCCCTCCCTCCGTTCTCTTCAGGGAGCCGCAGCCCCGGCGAGCCGCTGTCGGCCGGGCCCTGGTGCCGGCTCGGCGCTGCCGCCGGGCCGTGCCGCGTGCGCCGGGGTCGAGCGCCGTGCCGGCGGCGCGGCCATGTCTGGTGAGGCGGCCCCGGGGGCAGGGCAGGGCAGCGAGCCGGGGCTCCCTTGGGCTTGTCGCTTCTCTGCGCGGGGCTGCCGGCGGCTGAGCGGCTCGGCGGGTCTTTAAACCCCTCTCACACCTGGACGGGACCTGATGGGGGTTTGTGCGGGCGCTCCTGTGGGCGGCTTGGCGCTTGCGTGCCACATCATCACCGCAGGGAGCGTGCGGTACAATAGTGTGTAAAGCCCTTGAGAAAGGAGGCTGTACCTTAGGGTACCGCGGGCGGGCCCGGCGGCAGCTGGGGCTCATTATCGCGCTCTGGAGATCGCATCCTGCAGGCAGGATGGGGTGGGGAGCCGTTCCCAGGCTCTAACTCGAGACACCTGTGAGCACCATGTTCCATAGCGCAGCTCAGGTGTTGAACACGTCCCTTCCACTAATAAGGTTTTTAGCTGTGCTTGTTCAGCACTGGGAAGGTACTAAATATAGCATACCATATAACACAAACTTCAGTAGCATCCGTCTCTTTATTAAAAGCTACTGGTTTGCAAGAACCACCAGCAAAGAGGTGTGAAATCAAGCCTATTAATAGAGTAATCAGTTCTGAATATAAACCGTCTCTTCCTGTGACAGTGGCTTTCTGACATCTGCAGTAAGTCATTGCAGAGACACTGTTCCTTGCTATGTTTCATATCTGCCCATCTGCATAGTCCATGTGTTGCTATTTTCTGGTTCTCGAGGCTTAACTTTGTAGCTAACAGTTATTAATTTTTTAATGCAAAACTGATCACTGTTTCTCAAAGACAATACTTCCATTAATTTTATTAACTAAGCTGAGCCTCCATATCTTAGACTAGCTTGTGGAGGATTTTCCTTAATTTTCAAAGCATTGTGGAAAAAACGAAACCTGGCAGCAGGAACACCGGAGGCAGTGCAGTCTTGATGTAAGGAGGGCACTTGTGGCAAGACCACACAGAAGATCTCTGCAGGTGAGAACACCCACCTGGCAGCTTCTCTGTGGTGCAGAAAAGGAAGCTGGGAGTGGGCTAAGCAGATAGGAGATCCAAACTAGGCTTGGTGATGGCCTGTGAAAGGTTTTGAGGTTAGGGATAACCATGTAGTTTTGATGTCTAGACAAATACTAGCAATGCAATTACTTTACTCAGTGGTTTTATCATTATTTTGTTTTACACAGGTTTTGACCTTTTTAAAATACATTTAAGAGATTTCTCATTACAATGAGCTTATCCAGAAAGCAGCAGCTGTGATTTTAACTTGAAGGACATGTTTTAGAGTGACATCTGCTTTATTGCAAAAGATTTTGCTAAGAAGGAGTCTAGAATAGGACTTGTAAACAGTGAATTACCAGAGCAGCTGCAGCAATCACAGGCTGTACTTTATTCTCAGTGTGATGTTGCCCTGTAAGTGGGGATGGAACTGTCACTTCCAAGCTCGCTTCCCAACCAGTGAGGAAATCAGATAGCAGCCTGCTCAGAAAGGTTGGGTTTGTAGGTAAGGACAGTAGGGAAATATTTTTTTTTTGTTCTGTCCCAGGAATCAAGCTGCATCTTGTTAAGAGACCTCAGACTGACCTATTTTCATACCTGTCATTCAGAAAGATGCTGAAGGGAGAAGAGGATTTTTTAGGCACTGTTCATTAACCTTACCCTGGACAGCTGCAATCTGCCCTAAGACAACTCTGTAGCTATTGTAGCATTTAAACCAGGTGCTAAAAGAAACTCCTTCTCCTCAGAACTGTTTTTGTGAACTGGCAGCAATGTGGCTCGGAGCAGCTACTGGTCAAAAAATCTGATTTAAGTTGATAGAGAGGTATGTTGACATATAGTGCTTTAGGAAGAGGGAGAAGCTGTCATGTACAGACAATTAGAGCCCTGTCACTTGGACTTTCTGGATTCAAAATAACAGGTAGCACCTTAATTTAAGGAGAATATTTAGATTCCTTAACACTGCAGAGGATGGATGTCCCAACTACAGCAATACCTGAAAATGGCAGACATTAAAAGGCAAGCTTCTGGGGAGTGAGAAATGGAACAAAGGTAGGGAACAAACTGAGTACATTTGGGATTATTAGTGTAAGTGAGCAGGGGGTAAATACTCAGATAGATAATCCCAGGGAGCTGTGATGGAACTAAGGTCTGGTCAGGCCAGGTGCAGAAGACCTTGAGGACTCTATTTTGTCCATAGCATGAGCTGCTCAGAGAAGTGTAAAGTTCTTTCCTTGTTCCTAAGTGGATTCAGAAAAAGGAATCATGGCCTTTTCAATTGGTGTTAGTGTAAGAAAAAGCCACCTTCATGTGGCTGGTCATGGTGTCTCGTGCAATTCAGAGGTGGCTGGCTGGGTCAGGGATGTCCTGCTGGTAGACTGAAATGGCACTTTTGCTTCCTTAAAATTAACAAGAACTTGGTCTGTGTGCCAGAGTTGGGGAGATAGATCACTTCACTGTGCCTGGGTTTCCTCATTTTCCCTCAAGCTTGTCACTTTTCTGCTCAGCAAATGCTTAATGGAGGCAGGTGCCTTTTATACTGAGTGGGATATGAACATCAAGTGCTCTAATGGGATGTGAGCTGATGCACTGAAGTACTGAACATTCTAGAACAGTTACAGTCTCTTTACAAGGAGGCAATGATCTCAAGGTAATTTCTAGCCTCAGATGTGAACCAGGGATCTGGAAGCTGAAATGAATAGTGCAGTGATGTGTATATATAGGAGAAAATTCATTAGCTCAGGCTGGCAGTGTATTTTAACTCATGATTTAACAGGAGATATGATTTAAATCTAGGTGCTTTAAGTGTCTGTTGGTTGAGATCATTCTGTGATATTCTGCTAAAGCTTCTTATTCCCTAAGGAACAGAGTCATAATATGGAAATGCACATGGCAGTGGTTGGATGTGCAGTCCTAGCTGCTGCACAGAGCAGGGGGATTCAGGAGTGTGCAACTCACCTGTGCTGGGTAAGGACAATTGCTGAAGGCAGGGAGGGTGGATCCCTCTGCATCCCAGCCCCAGCATGGAAAAAATTAAGGACTGCAGTCAATGGAGTGCTAAAGTGCTGCAGGTAGAATGTGGACCTGTTCCCAGCTACATCATCTCCCTGAGTGCCAACAGCTCATCCAGTGCCTTCAGTTTTCATAAAAATGTTTTACAAATCCTCTGTAGGGAAGTGGCTTTTTGAGTGTCTCTCAACAAGTTCTGTGAGGTAATGAGAGAAACAGGAATTGCTGAAGCCCCAATACCTGCAGACCTGACAGTGTTTGTCATTAGTACCAAGTGCTAAAGCAGGAGGAAACCCTGCAGCTACTTTATACTACAATACAGTCCAAAAAAATCCCCATTTCTTCTCACCTCTCAAGACAGACACTGTGACATCAGCCACACTCCCCTGCCTTCTGAAACAAAGTGAAACTCATTTATATTGTGTAACACAATGTTCCTGCTACAAGTTAGGTTTTAATGCCTTATATTTTTAGATGTCTTGTTACTTGATGAAGCAGCTGAAACAGTTTCTAGTCTGACATGAGTTGTTGCTTTATGTATTTCTACCTGGTATTTAGGAAGAACAGTTAGTGTTGTCACATAAGCCCTGTTTTTTTTCCTGCCCTCTGGCAGTTCTGACAGGATGTTTGAGATGTGGCCTCAGCTTTCCAGCTGCCCCTGTGCATTAGGTCTGACATTTTCTGTATTGCTGTTGTTTGTATGCACTGTCATTTTCTGTTTCCCACCCCTTCTCAAAAACCAGGTATGACTAATGAAGGGTGTTCAGTGAACTGTGCAGAGGAACATCTGTGTCTCTGCAAGGACAGAGGAGTTGGTTCAAAGCCTCATAATTTGCATTAATAACTTGGAATATTCACTTGGAACACATTGTCACTTTGCATTCAAAACTGTGGTCTGGACATTGTTGGATATGTCTTACACCTATTTGTGAAATTCAGCTTATTTTTCTGAAATGTTAGTCCAGAAGAACGTAGATATGCCACTTAGCCACTTCTCTCTTTTAAAAATACTTGTCTACACCACA